AAATGATAATGATAATGATCCACAGGTAGAGAGGGAAAGCAAACTGGAGCCATTGTTTAGCATAACTGTCCATACCATTGTAAAAACATATCTCAAACCCAAAGTCTAAGTTAATCCATGATATGACTTGACTTGAGACTGGTAATGCTCCTTTCCTTGAAAAGACTGGCTCGTATAACTTGACAATGTTAGCATAGAACAATAGACCATTGAGTGTACCCACTGATACTGTTAAATTGAGAGCAATCAATAGAACCACAAGTAGTACACCCATCACTGCAAACAGAGCAATCCAAGCTATCATCATGTGATTATTATGACACTGTCCACACTTGTTTGATCCCATTAGTAGACTGTATCCCTCTGTACATGATCCACATATTCTGTGTCCTCTATTATCCACACATTGAGTATCAGTGTCATTCAATTTGAAGGTAACAGGATTAAGAGAACAATAGAGGAGACAGTCCTCATTGATAATACATGCATTAGGATTGGTTGCATTAGCATTGAAAGGTGTACTGGTATGATATGTTCCAATCCACAGTAGACCATTGTGTGTAATGTTTAGACTATTTATATCACATGTGACATTCTCTCTTGAAACACTTTGACTGCAAGTACAGGAACCTTGTGACTTATCTAACCTGAAACCAATGGGACACTCATTAACAATGAAAGAAGCATAAGTTTTATATTCATATAGTAAAGGTGACACTAGTAATAAGTCACTTTGATATCCTGTATGAGTCAGTTTAGGTGTGTATTCAATCAATGAACAAGTATTGGGAATGTATGCTTGATTGAGCAAGAAATTTGTGCCGTTATATACTTGTACTATACCATCCGTGGGAGTTAGTGATCTCAAGTAATCATTACCAAACAGTGCCACATAATACTGCAGTGCTTGACCTGGATAAATGTATTGTTTACTTACATAAAAACAGCTTTTAGTAATATTGATAGCATGAGGATTACAGAAACACAATGACACTGGATTACCAGTTGAACTAATGTGTGGGTTTGTCAAGTTAAACTGGTAACTGTATACCCCATACATATCACCACCAACCAGGCCAGCAGTATTATTTATTAATGTAAGAGGTGTTTTTGGTGTCACTAATAATACTATGCCACTCTTTGATGACTCTTCAACATAGATTCCTCCACCTTTATAAGAAGCATGATTATTAATAAACTCCAAGTTAGCTGATGATGATACTCTCAATTGTGATGAGTCATTTATTGCTAATCCTCCTCCAACTACTCCAGTATTGTTCTTGAATACTAAGTTATTTTTAATTATCACTAATGATCTTTGAAGTGTCAATCCTGTTGAGGTACTGTTAGCAACAGTAACATTGCTGAGACTAATAACATTACTGTTCATTATCTTGTTTCCTCCATTTCTAATAAGTTCAGTGTCTAGAGTACATTATCAATGATCGTACACCATCAATTTTCGGACACTTGTTTTAGGAAAACTATACATTGCCATCTCATGAAACTGCAAAGTATTATGGCAATAGTCATCCTTTATTTGCGTGACAAAACTTGTAGCTCTAGCAAGAGTGCATAGAAAGTTATAAGCTCTCAAAGCGTGGTGTCCGACAATACCAATGATCGGCCAAAATTCTCAATCTTCGGACTGTCATTTCTGAACGACAGCAAAGGATAGTTTTAGAAGGTCACTATGATAACTTTGTAGGCCTGTCTTTAAACTAACTATCACCATCCGGATCTTTTTGATAGCTGTCTTTTTGACAGAGATAATGGCCACTTAAAATGTGTCACCTGATCCCTCAATATACGGACAAATTTTACAAAAATATACAAAAATTATGAATTTTATTAGTAAAACTCCGTAAAATCATGAGTTTTGTATATTTTTGTAAAATTTGTCCGTATATTGAGGGATCAGGTGACACATTTTAAGTGGCCATTATCTCTGTCAAAAAGACAGCTATCAAAAAGATCCGGATGGTGATAGTTAGTTTAAAGACAGGCCTACAAAGTTATCATAGTGACCTTCTAAAACTATCCTTTGCTGTCGTTCAGAAATGACAGTCCGAAGATTGAGAATTTTGGCCGATCATTGGTATTGTCGGACACCACGCTTTGAGAGCTTATAACTTTCTATGCACTCTTGCTAGAGCTACAAGTTTTGTCACGCAAATAAAGGATGACTATTGCCATAATACTTTGCAGTTTCATGAGATGGCAATGTATAGTTTTCCTAAAACAAGTGTCCGAAAATTGATGGTGTACGATCATTGATATTATATCAATGTTAAGGAATCTCAAAAATGTTGCATCAATGAATAACCCTGCTTCATTGTTGTGCATCAAACATGATTTGATAATAATGTGACAGTTCATTGTTCCAGGCAAGTATTTTTCAGTAGTAATTTGAAATCCATGCCAATTATTGTAAAGTTGACTTTCCTCAATTAGCACAACATTTGGAGCTAACATAACACCCGGATATGAGCATTTAGTTGGAGTTGAATTTTCACCAAATATAATCCAAAAGCCGACACTTTGATCAGAACTACTAAATGATGACTTGATGATAAAGAAATTAAAGATATTTTCAAATAATTCTAATATTAGCCATTGGGCAGAATAAAGATGATCAAAAATGACTGATACATTATATGAGTTACCATGGTTGATTACTAGTTGCATTTTACCAGCATCGGGTAACTGAGTCAGGTTAACATTAGTCAGTATCAATGAGTAATGGGGTAATTCATCACTACATACTGGAAGAGGTTCATAGTAAATGTTTATTTTATAGCCACTGTAAAGTGATGATGATATGTTAACATCAAAAGCATTATGTAGCTGCAATGAGCCAGATTCTGACTGAATGAAAGAGCTATTAGATATTGTAATATTGTTGGATGTATGGATCTCCAGTGAACAATCACTGAACAATATGTTAGAAATAGTGACATCATTACTGGAAAGTACAAAAATGCTAGTTTTAGAAACTCCATTGCAGTTAATACTAGGAGACTGATCCAGTCCATATAGAGTAACATTCTCCGCAGTCATATTAACAACATAATGGCTAATGCTAGTAGTTCCAATGAAGTAGAAGATGGTATTATTGTATTGAGACATATTCCCAGCATACACTGATAAAGGATTACAAGGTGACTGAATAATTGAACTGCAGTCATCAGACACATAATACTGATGAGAGGAGACACTGCAGGAGCTACTGAAGAATAAGAGAACAACCACTAACAACAGAGACATACCGTAGCTACTGTCTTAGACTAGCTATCATTGGCTATGAATGTGTACTTGTTGTAGTAATACCTTAAATGTACATTCAAGGATCACACATACACTGTACATAATCTAATTATAGATTCTGCACACACCCACTGTATTTGTTTGAATAATGTGATAATGTAATTACATTTACTCTCAGAAGTACAACAGTGTGTGTGTAGGAGCAATAGATCAATGGATTAGATCTTGATACTAGTGAATGTTTTTGTATTAGCAAAAGTTGTTGTGACCTAGTCTTTCACTCCCTCGACACTTTCTAATGAATGAATACCTGGTAGCAATACTGTTGTGTGAGCTACTCGTCATCCTCCAATATGGAAATGTATTGTTGTGATCATTAGTTGCATTTA